AGATTTGCGATGAAAAATAATATCAAAATTTCTGAATATGATGTATATATAGCCACCTTTTTTTTTTTTTTTGCCATCATTATATTATATAGCCACTTATCAATCTGCACAAAGTCTTCTATGATGTTATTCTTCCGTTATTTATTTTGCTGATAAATATACATTCTTTGATCCATAGCTCCAGAAATGGCAGCTGCACTTGTTCCCTCAGCCTTGGAGCTATTAGCAAGAGTTGAAGCTGGAGCATCATTGAAAGAGGTGAGGCTGGGGACAGATTCTAAAAATGAACTCCAAAGGCTTAGGCACAACCTTTTGGCCTCAAATGCTATCCTTGAGGATGCAGAGCAAAGCAGAAGCACCAACATATATATCCGACTTTGGATAGATTCGCTTACAGATGCAGCTTATGACCTGGTGGATGTGTTGGACGAGTGGATCGCTACACTCATGAAGTTGAGAATAAAAGGAGTTGGAAAAACTTCTATTCTGAAGGCTAAGGTAGGCTCCTACGTCACCCACTGTTTACATACTGCCCAAGTTGTTAGGCGTGATGATCTTGCTTTCAAATTAAAGGAAATCAGTGACAGGCTAGATGTGATGGCCAATGAACGACATACGCTCTGGTTAGTACAAAGATCTGTTCAACATAGCAGACGGATTGGGAGTACAGCTTTTGTTGATGTGTCAGCTATAATTGGTCGAGTGGAGGTTAAGGAAGGCATTGTAAGCAGTTTGTTGTCTGCGTCTACTGAACTACTTAAGACAATTTCTATTGTTGGCATGGGTGGGGTGGGAAAGACAGCTATTGCTCAACTTGTTTACCAGGATGAGGTGGTTATTCAGCATTTTGATCGTAGAATATGGGTTTGTGTCTCAGAAGTATTTGACGAGAATAATGTTGCCAAAACAATAATTAAAGGAGTTGAGGGTGTTAAAAGATTTGAAGGAGCGGACTCCCTTGATTCATTTCCACTTTCTGCCCTTCTTGATAGAATTAGTATATCTATCCACGGAAAGAAATTTTTTCTTGTGTTGGATGATGAGCGGGCAGATGACAAGCGACAGTGGGAAGGACTGATCCAGACTTTCAAACATGGTGCCCCAGGGAGTAGGATTTTGTTAACTACTCGTAAGGATACGGTGGCAAACATGATGGTGGACTCTCATGTCATTCATTTGAAACCATTATCTGATGAACAGTGTTGGATGTTAGTCAGTCAAGAAGCATTTTCTGGAAGGGGTGTTGAAGAGTGTCAGAATTTGGAGGATATTGGGAAGAGAATTTCAAACAAGTGTAAAGGCTTGCCTCTTGTTGCAAAGATTCTAGGAGCCCTCCTAAGATTTAAGAGCAGTAGGACAGAGTGGGAAGATATTTTGCACAGTGAAATCTGGAAGTTAGAGTTTGCACATCTAGGGCTTTTTCCTTCTCTACTTTTTGGTTATAATGATTTGCCTTTACCACTGAGACAATGTTTCAAGTATTGTGCTCTTTTCCCAAAAGATTTTGTATACGACGGAGAAACAATAATATACCACTGGATGGCACAAGGCTATTTAGGATTGAACAATGATGAAGATTTAGAATTAAAAGGAAGAGAGTACATTAGCTACTTAGCAGCTAGGTCTTTCTTCCATGATTTTCTGCTGGATACAGATGGTATAAAATCAACATGGAAGATGCATGACATTATGCATGATTTTGCACAGTTTTTGATGATCAATGATGGAATTGTGATTAAGGTCGATCCAGAAGGCAATTCAATGACAGGTTTGTCTTCCAGAGAAGCTCATTATTTGACAGCATGTATACCAGAGGGGCATTGTCTTCCTACTTCCATTTATGGTGCTGAAAAGTTGCGTAGCCTTATGATCATTTCTGGAGAGAATGCAATAACCAATGAGGCT